GGAGGGGGAGGGGGGGAATCGAGGGGGGGATCTACCACAGGAGGGGGGGGGCCGCTCGCCCCGCCCCCCCTTCATCCCCCTCGCCGTGTTTCCCCCCCGCGAGGCGCAAATGGGGCGGCGTCTTTCGCGAGTGAAGCTGCGGCCACGGGATCCCGCGCCTCGAGCGTGCGAGGAGGAGGAGGGGGAGGAGGAGGGGGAAGGCCCCTCGTGGAGGGAGGGGTCGGGGAGCCTCGGCGGCGGCGGGCCTCCCCGGCGCTCACCTACCCCTTCGATCACCTCGACGCGTTGTCGGATATGACGTTTGACGTGCAGGGGGTCCGGGTGCGCGCGCATCGCTGTGTCGTCGGGGCGCGAATGACGGCGTTGCTCCCCGCCGCGATGCTCCCACTCCGGGTGGGGTGCGTCGTTTCCATCGCGGTCCCCCTTGACGTCTTTCGCGCGTTTTTACGCTACGTGTATACGGAGGAGCACCCCGAGCGGGGCGCGCTCGCGCCGGAATCGCTCCTCGATCTCTACCTCCTCAGCACCGCGTGTGAGTTTTACGACCTCAGCGGTACCTGCATCCAGCTCGTGCAGCCTCTCCTCACGCAGGATAATATCTTACCCATTGTTTTGACGCGCTACAACGCCGCGGATGAGGTTCTTACCTCGCTCTATCTGAACGTGCTCCTCGATCACTACGACAGCCTCATCTTGGATACGCAGTTCGAGGAGATCCCCGGGCATCTTTTCCGTCGTTTATCGTTGATTATGTATCAGCGCGAGACCGTTCCGCGCGCGTCGATCCCCGCGATGAAGGGCTCCCTCGCGAAGCAGCTCGCGTGGCTCGCAGAGACGGGTGAGTATAGCGACTTCGACTGGGAGGTGGGGCCGCATAAGCGGGTGATTCACGCGCATCGGTTTATTTTAGCCTGTCGAAGTGGCGTCTTCTCGCAGGCCGTCAACCTTCGCAACCCGGCCGCCCTACCAGATTTCAGCAGCGCCGATTTTGACTTTTCCCTGCACAGCTGGCAGCGGTTTGTTCGCGCGATGTACACCCGCCAGCTCGATGCCGCGAGGGATTTCACCGCCGAGGATATCGCGCTGATTTACAAGATGCAGGGCGCCCTTAGTATGGACGGCCACCTCAAGCGTGAGACCGACGACGCCTTCGACACGAACAACGCGCTGCGGCTTCTCATCTACGCGGTGAAGCACCACATCCAGGAGCTGCACGAGCGCGCTGTGAACTACGTCGCGGCGAACTTCCACACCCTCATCCGAACCGATCCTCAGGCGTGGGAGTTGATCGGCGATCTCCCACGCGAAGCGATTATCTCTCTTTTTCGCACCGTAATGGAGCATCAACAATAAAGAAGCTGGGGTGGAGTGGGGATGTGGGGATATTTTAAATATTCGTTTTTTTTTGTGTGTAGATGGTCTGAGAGAAGTGCGGACGAACAACGTCTGATCGAGGGAGGGCATGGGTTTTGAGTGCATCATCCGGTGCGAAAGAGAGAGATACTCCCTCGTGACTCTAGGAAAAGACGAGTGAAAGGAAGTTTTAGCCTTTCAGTTTATTTTTTGTTTAGCACAGATTTGACGAGGTCCATATTGTTCCAGCGAAGGAGGGAGGAGGCGGGTAGTTGCTATATGGTTATATAGATATCTATATACGTATATACATATTCATCTCTTTTTTCTTTTATAGAAGTGGTACAACTATAGGAAGCAGGCCAATAGTTCACATAAGGATCTAAATATCGTAGACAAAGTGGCTGTCTCTCTCAAACAACTTCGCTGGAATTGTTTGTCAAATGAAGTTGTAAAGTATGGAATGGAAGCGAAAGATTGTCCTTTCATCTCCTTTGTAAGTATTTATGTACTGTTATAGTATATTACACTTAATTTTCATTATAGAGGGCGAGTAAGATTCCATATATCCCATTTTTTTTTACGCTTTATCTTTTGCGTGTACATGTCAGCTGAGATGCTTCTATGCTAACAAAGCAGTATATTGAGAGCTGAAGTACATTCACTGCTTGTTCTTAAAATTTTAGTGCTGCAGCGTCTGGTGGGTGTTACGATTCCCTGGTTTGGACTGCTATAGTCAGGATGATTTGGAATAGACTTTTTGCCTTTTGCTTGCATTTCCGGTTTGCTTTCCATTTACGCCCTCTCATCATCGAACCAATAAGCTATAGAAGTTACTAGATCCCGATAAATATATTCCTTATTTTCTCTTTTGTCGAGCACCCTTTTCCGAGATCCTTGGAACCCATTGTTTTCCCAAATCCTATAGAGTTATTATTATTTATTTTCTAAATAATAAAACACATAAAAAAGACCACGCGAGTCTAAATTGCATACACACACACACACGCACACCTATATTTTCCTATACATATAGAGTTCTCTCCCACATATTTAGAGAAGAGATATTTCATTTACTATTATTCAAGATTATTCAACACCCCGTCTTGGCATCGTGCGGGCTACTTTTTTTTCACATTCCCACGTGTTCTGGTAAAAGCGACGGATAGCGCAACGCGCGAGGCGTCCAGTACCTGTTTCCATACGCTTTCCTCCTCCTCTCGCCTCATCCATTCTCACCCGTATTCGTCAATGCAAACCTACCCATCCATGCGGGTGTCTTCAAGCGCCTCCGCGATGAATTTGGACCTCCACTGGCGCCCCCCCGCCGCGGCGGCGGTGGTGATGCTCGCGAAGGAGGTCGCCTCCCTGACGTACGAGGAGGTCCGTGAGTTGCAGGATGAACTCACGCGGATGGACTGCCTGGGGGTTTTCGAGCGTCTCCAAGAGGTTGAACGGGGGGATCGCGGTGGTTTCTTCCTCCCCGCCTCTCGCGCGCGATCGGGAACGTCGTTGGGGCGCCCTCGCGTGTCGTATTCGCGGCCGCGTTTCCTCTCCCCCTCGCCGCAGCCCCTTGAACCCGACGAGGGGGTTCGCGAGGACCCTTCCCTCTCCTCATCCGCCGCGCGAAACTGGAGTTTAGCCGACTTTGACATCTGCCGAAAGCTCGGCGAGGGGCGGTTTGGCAAGATCTACCTCGTTCGTGAGCGACGCACCAAAGGCGCCTTCGTGCTGAAGTGCCTTTCGAAGGATATGATTCAGTACAACAACCTCTTCCACCAGCTTCGCCGGGAGGTGGAGTTGCAGGCCTTCGCCGGGCGCCACCACCCGAACGTGCTGAAGCTGCACGCCTATTTTTGGGATGCCGAGCGGGTGTTTTTGGTCCTCGAGTACGCGGAAGGGGGGGATTTGGCGGCCTTCGCGGCCACCCACGCCGCGCAGCACGGCGGCGGCGGGCTGCCGGAGGGCCTCGTCGCGGTCGTGGCG